TTCTTTTTGTGTTGTTCTATTTAACCCATATCGTTTATATGAATTAGCAAATTCTTCTAACGATCCTTCATTATGTTCTATTTTTGAAAGAACATCAAGTGTTTTCTTTTGTCTTCCATAAATTGTTGCAGCAAATGGCTCAAGATATGGATCATCTACAATCATCTGTAATTTTGTTGACATCTTCAATTTATTTATGTTTATTATTTTCTAGATTTAATTAAATAGTTAGTAGCAATTCATATCCTTTTCTTTTTTCTTTTTTTTTTAAGACTAATCTACTTTAATCATTCCTTAATCTGATATTCCTATCCCAAACATCAAATAATCTCGTTGATTATTTAATCAAATCTTTTGAAACTAAAGGCAGTTTACTCTTTGTTAAAGAACTTTATCATTTCATAATATATTTCATATTTTATTTTTCCTTTATTAACCAAATACTTGTTTGTATTTCTAAAACTTACTTACGTGGGTCTCTTTTCAAAAAATTGACTCCATTAAATTAAAAATCACAAATCAATGAAAACGAAATTTCATTGTGAATTTTCATAGAACTATAAAAACTGAACTAATAATATATAGTATTTATTTATTATAATTTATTAAAATTAAAAAAGTTTGATGTTTCTCTTTATTTATAGTTCTTTTTAAGAGATCTATTAATTAGAAAAAAAGAAAAAATTTATTAAAATATTAGTAAAAGAATAGGAAATTAAATTATTCAATTTATATTAAAAAAAAATATTAAAAATTTTAAAAAAGGATAATTAAAAAAGAAAGAAAAGAATGAATATTGAACATGATGAAGTTGTGAGAACAAATAATGTAATTGAAACACCTTCGTGGACTAAATTTGACCCACTTTCTGTAGAACAGACGTTGTCAGATGAAAACACAGAAGATGAGATGTATGCAGAGTTACATGCCCCATTTGAAGAACATGAAAGACGTCGTTATGTAATGACGTCTTTGAGTAATGAAGATCCATTCGTTGTTGGGTTTTCTGCTATCCAATTTATGCAAATTGAACCAAAAGAAGAACTTGTACATAATTATAAATATCCACCCATTCGTCCTTTAAACCCTGTCTTAACTGATACTAATGAAATTAACTCAAAGAAATGGTCTTGTTCTGTACAAGATGGTTTTGTTATTCATTTTAAGACGTTGAAATAACATTAAATATTTATTTTGTGGAATATATAACAATTACTAATATAATTTTTTTTTAAAGGTTTTATTCAAAAATTACATAAAATTTTATGATTTAAAGAAATCTCATTAATAAATAGTATAATCTAAAAGAAATTTAAATTATCTTAACTTGTAAAATTTGAAAATGTCTTTGTATCAAACACAAATAAAAATTAAATTACAACCAAAAAATGTTAAAAAGTAAAGTAATTAGTTACACTAATTAAAGGTCTTAAATATTCTTTTGTTTATCAGTAAGAGTATCAATTAATCCAAAAAAAAAATAATTTAAATTTAATTAATATTTTAAATAATATACAAATATCTGTTTTATAAAGAAAAGAATTAAATATATATAATAATTA